GACTGATGTTAGACCACCGTTGGAAACCTGGAAACACTGGACGGCCGTTTCTTCCTAGTATGGGACTCCTCAGCAGGGCCTTCAGTCTCGCGCGCGAACACTTAACCTACTCGACCACTGAGCCGGCATCCAATGGTGTTAGTGTCTAACACCAACCAATCTACAAAATTGCGCGACCATCTTCCATTGTACTGAGGTAGATACCTATCTCTACCCGACACGGATTAAATTAATAGTTTTCAAAAAGATCTTGTGAAGAAAATATATCATTAACGTAGCCTGCGATTGAAATAAATTGAATAACCAAATAACACGAATAATATGGAATTTCCTGACTGCCGTAAAAAGTGTTGAGGCATTTAGTGATAGATACCACTTGTTTTGGAAATCTTAAAAAAATTCTGTATTTAGTAGTATTAATCCAGAAGTAGTTATCGATTAATATACAATTACTAGAAGCCACCTGTATTATGAATTAAAAAATAACTACCGCCTAACGGATATTTCCAGAAACTGGTTTCAGCTAAAAAAGAAAATGAAGTTACATATTAGGTTTAGTGGATATGTGGTCTCTTTTTGAGAAGGATAACAAAACTGACAGAGCTCTGCTCAAATGTTGAAAAATACATAAAAAGAAGACAATCAGAGGATATTTTGTTTACCTTTTCGGAAAGTGGAGGCACTCGCAGCCGTTTCATGGCTTTTTGTCTATCACCTTGTTCTAGTTTCTCTGTAAATATGTTCTAAGTTAAAGCGATAAAAAAAAAGAATTTTCAAAAGTACGATACTGTGACAAAGAAAGACATTGAAATGAGGTGTATTCATTTCAGAACCTACTAAAAAGTACCATCATTAGCGTTAAAAATCGCCCACATATTTGTAAAGATTCAGTAGATCATAATCTGTGAATAAAACTAGGAACTACCAATATACGGATTGATTGAAAACGGAATTGCGATCATGGCTTATGAGCGATGCCCTGCAAAGGTGCTTATATTTATTTCACTAACCATTATTAAAAGCCATAAAAAAATATAAAGAGATCGCATCATAAGGTGATCCGTGGTTTCAAATATCGCTAGCCGCAAAAAGCCAACAATCTTTAGGCGCATTTCAAAACATTACCCAGCACGGCTTTATAAGAGGAATTCAAAGTAGCCAGTGGCTTGATACAGAAGTACCTCATCAACTCTGGGCCAACACCCCTAAAAGGATCATCGTTCAAAACAATCTACGCGGTCATAATAACGGGGTCGAAGGGAGGTCGAATCATATATTCGTGCCCTGCAAAGGCGTTGGAAATCCACAAATGCAAGCCTTAAATCTGTTTGCAAAAGTGAGATCAGCAAAATCTTATCTCTTCATGGTTCGATTCCACGTCCCCAATATTTTTAGGGTCTTTTTCTGTCTTTATCATTATTTTATACCTTTTAAACGATAACCAGCGATTACTATCCTACGACAATTTTTCACGATCATCGTTAAATAGTTACTATACCTGTTTAATGGAAGTCATCTCTCACATTCCTGACCCGCAAAAAAATATGCGCTTTAAAACTCATCGTTCATGTCGACTCACTGTCACGAACACATTAAACACTACAAATATAACCCTAATTACATGAAGAACACTATCAATAAATGACTTCAACTGATAAATACTAATAAATAAGAAATATGTCAACATTATTATATCATTATTTGTCCTGATATTCTGTACTACTTAGCTCATGTTAAAGCAGAACATGCAAATAGATGCCTACAGAAAACGCCAGTCAACACTACTCTCCTACTTTTATTTAACGACAGATGACGAAATACCAACGTCCTTTCACGAAAGAACAGATCAGGGTCAGTTCCTATTTCCAGCATGCTTAGGTACTAAACTCAGTCTTTTCCCATTTAATGACATAGGTTTGTCAAATGGCTACCCAGTTAGAAACAAAACCTCATATAGTGAATCTTTATTACTCACCTCAACCTCTGTAATAAGGTCATCGACCTCCCTACTAGTATTGAAGTGTGCACACTCAACCACCTGTTGTCGCCAAAGTAATCCTGTGTTCCGGCGGAGGAGCTGTAAATAAAGGACATTAGAGTTATGTACTTCCATTTAAAAGATTCAAAGATTACTGAGAGATATCTAAAAGTGTTTACCCAAGTTTAAAATGCATAACATATTTTATGTAACAGAGATTAATTTAGCCAAGTACTACAGAATAAGATTTATCCTAAATCTTATTGCATCTCAATACATAATTAACGCAGAACCACAAGTTATATGGTGACTAATCGCAGAAAGTCAAATGATTAAATCACTAAGCGATAGAACTTGCTAACTGTGATTAAGTACAGTTCTTTACTAATACCGTTTGCCATGAATCCAGAAACATTTGAATAGGAACTATCGGTTAAATTTGGTAGCCGAATCAGTCACCTAAATATTCTCGAATTTCGCAATACACGAACGGTAATTAAAAACTACTGATGTTACATAATTATTCATGACCATAATAATATAGACATAAGACAACTAGTAACAGACGTGGAACAACAAATCTACGGAAATAAATTGGATTTCAGGTCTGGAGGGAATATATATTGGGTGGGGTTTTATCATTTACTGCCTTCCAAAATAACGTTACTTCTTTTGCACCCATATGTCTATTTTTCTCAGACACGAGGCAAAATCAGATTTTTCCAGGCATATTGTATAAGACCGTATGAATTCAAAAGAAGTGCAAATAAAATATACTCTGCTGCTAACGTCACTGTTTGAAGTCATGTGAAAAAATCACCTTTATTGTTGGCATTAATGAGGATGTCTATTAAGAACGTTCTCCATAACTTTCATGAATATACTGACATTAAACCGCATCGTTATAAGATTGGTTTTTTTACTAGGAACTCATAATAAACTTGTGGCACTCGAATGCCATCCTTGACGGAGAAATACTCAAAATCGACCCAAAATAATTTAAGCAACTTAAACACATGTTTCATATCTTTCAGAATTAAAGTAAAGCTGCAAAACTGGTTTGAACAGATAGCTAGTCTCAAAATAAGGGCTTCTCATCTAATATTGACTTACTTGGTCAGAAATATGTCAGACAAAGAGACTTAAGAAAGCTCTTTCTCTTTTTAGTGGACTAATTTACTAATAGCACTAGTAAGACATCAGAATATTTTAGTGAAGATAGGTAAAATCTTTAATGAATTGCTTTTACTACTATGCGGTTACAATATAACCATAAGTGATGGGGGGTATGAGCAGATCACAGGCTTTTGTTGATGAATATCACAATGATTAAAGTAGTGAGTAAGCAATTAAATTAATCACGAGCTTCTAGATAATGAGAACAATTTATTCAAAAGGTTGTAAACCGGTGAGATTAACTAGGTCATGTGCATTGATTCCAAGTTATCGTTGACGTTAATGTACAGTGATAACTCATATAAGATTAAGAAAGAATAACTTTGAAAGTAACCAAGAAAAATTGTGGTACCAGGTTAAAACATTAGTGACGACCTGAGTCGTGTACGAAAATATAGACATTTTCGGTACAGTCACAAATACAATAAACGCTAGTATCTGTAGATAATAAGTGACGTGTGTAGCAGCGTATGTATAGTAAAAACCATGAGAACAACAGAAACTGATCTTCTTGTCACCAAATAGAGAGTAATTGATTGCTATCATTCGCACACTTGAAGTAATGGTCAAGGCTTTCGTACAGCTTTTTGATTTGACCATAGTATTAAGGACCTACACTTTCCTCAGTCATTGAGAACAAAACACCAACATGACAAGGTTCACCTTACAATTACATGAACGTAAGTGAGTAAATCAATTCATTTAGAATATGAGTCTGAATGTTTAAGACAAAATGCTTCCCATGGTTTTCATAAGGTCGAACTGTCATTGCTGAAGAAATGACTTGATATATTAGAATAAAAATGAAAACAATTACAAACCTTTCTTACCTTGTCATGCTTTTTCAAGATTTTTCTGAATCCCGTGAAGTTAAGGGATTGATAATTTTGCAGTAAAACAAGACTGAGATAGAATTCACTGAAAGCTAGCTTCAAATCATGTAACTTTCTAAAAGTCTTCTTTCTTCTATCCAATCTTTGAGCATCATATTTCGGGTTTTCAGACTGTTTCGAACGGCTCTGACGGCGACGTAACTCCGAGTTTTCTTCAGACTGTATTTTGCTGATTTTATTCCAAATCGGTGTATTAGCCGAACCATTTTCCCTGACAGACACTCTACACTTATCACCTTCTCTTCCAAACGATTCTGTTAGTCTTCTGGAAAGCGAGGCTTTAGAACCTGTAATCCAACTGATAGATTTATGATGAGTAGACTCGATATAGTTATCAAGTTCATCTACTAAAGTGGTGAACTTCCGATTAGCTTCTGCAATCTTCTCTAAATTCAATTGTCAAAAAGCGTTTTTAATCTCACCAGAAAAAAACACCTCAATCTTCCTCAGAGCATTTTCACATAGATTAAAAAATTCTTCGTCACATTCATCCAAAAATGTTTTAGTCTCTTCCTCAGAGAAAACTAAGGTGTAAGTGATGTAGACAAAAAATGAACCTACAAGGAAGAGTTTCCAAAACTTGTGTATATTTATAAAGATGTTCCTTCAATTCCTGAAGACATCAAAATCTATTTATATGAATTTACGTCGTAATCTATGTACTGAGTCCGCCATTCCGGAGTGAGATGAGCATTGAGTCTCTCAGCGAACTTCATCTAAGGTTAAAATAATGGATCCGACATATATGTATCAGGAGAAAAATAAGGTGACACAATGTACCCAGAACGAACAGAAACATATATCACGATATCATATCACTTAATATGAGCGGTAAACGTTCTGATTGAATGAACTCTAAAATTTTGCGACAACGTTTATAATATTTTTTATTCAAAAGTATATATTAAAAAATTGTTTTCTTTTGATTTTTATTATTTTTGTTTGATTTAATTGCAATTTGTGCATTTTCAAACTAATAGCTCTACACTCCTAAGGGGTTATCATCCGTACTGACGATTATCAAGGTGAATAAGGCAGTACTCTTATGAGAGTCATGGAATCCATCAGTGACGAAGCAATGTTGAATATTATGGAAAACTCTCCTGATAAGTATTTTTGCACACTCTGTTCTCCTGTCTACCTTATTTGCTCAAATGAATCACATGGCTTGGAAATACACATCAGATCTACTCATCCCGAAACAAAAAATCTTCGTTGTATTTATTGCTCTGAGCTGGTCTCATCAGTATCAATCTCAAAACACATTGACCTGCATTTTGGTCTAATGGATACCCAAAATCTTCCTTTTACCTGTCCATGTTGTCCTAAATCGTTCGGTACTATGAAGGCACTGGCTCAACACGCTCTAAGTCTCCATGACATTGATAAAAGCGATGTGTTTTTTAAATGTGGTCATTGTGATAGATCAATGAGCTCACCTACGGAGTTAAAATCACATCTCCGGAAATATTCACTCATTCTGTTTCACTGTTGCTTCCCTAACTGTCGTGTCAAATCAAAAAATGTGGAAATAATAAAAAAGCACGCACTCAAGTTTCACGGAACTAACAGTCCTCTTGTGACTACAACTTATTCGGTATGTTGCCATTATAACCTCTATTATTTATTTTAGTTTATGTGTTCTTGGCCTTCATCTGTACGACCAACACGCATTCAAGCCCATCCACCCGATATTTCAAAATTAAGCCGCCGAGTTTCATCAGCATTTTTCTGTGCACACTGTTCATTTGGTACCTCCCACCTAGAAAACTTTGCTCAACATTTGGCAATGTGCCGAGCTATTTCTTCGCATTTGCTCATAACTTCTCTGTCCGTCACCTGTGTCCTCCATCGTTGTTCAGAATGCGGCTGGATGACCAATGTTCGTAATATGCTAACAGAACACTTACATGATATTCACCCCTTGCTTAGTGAGGTTAGTTTTTGTATACAAATTTAATTGTCAAAAGTCAGTTATATCCAGTTTTACCAGTTATGAACTTTGAGCTCTTGTTTATAATTAACATTAATTAACTTTAAATACAAATAAAAATAGAAACTCAGAGCTAATATACCGTTCAGTTTGAGATTCTTGATTAGTAGGGTTAGGGTGTTAATTCTCCCATATCTTGAATTTCAACGTACTTTTAAACCAAATTAAAGCTTCTGCGACCGCTAACCTGTACCAATAGTATATGATGGAAAATTAACTAAGTCCTCTAGGAGCTCTTATTTCCGACTACTGCATTGGTTTCCAAATAGAATGTTGTAAACATGACAAAGGCGTTTTACCGTTTTAACGAATATGAGTGCATGCACCCTATTTTGACCTATATTGTTTATTAAACATTCGGTGTCCAAGTCAAAAACAAATTGAATGGGTTTCCAACCCACTGGTTAAACTTGTGCTTTTTCCACCCAGCAGTTTCTTCAATCTGACCAATTGTACTCGTTTTCAAAAAAGTTATGTTGTTGAAACCTGAGCTTTACTTGGTCGATAAATTACGCCATTATGATTATATTACAATTCACAGAATATGCACTTTTCAAGGTTTCGTCCTGTTATTTCATCGAGAGATCTGCAAGCTCACTGAATATATCTATAAAATCTCTAGATGCTTTATATATGCTTCATAGTCGTTCTATAAGCCATACCATCTAATTTGATCTTCCTAGTACTTCACTCATCAATATGGAGTACTCACATAATCAAGTTTTATTTTATGAACATGCTGTTAAGATTCAGATCCTTATGAACACTTTCGCCAACAATATCTGCATATTTGTAATGAGTTCCCCTCCATTAAGTGCGTCAGAACTACTCTACATCACCGCCTTAATTAATGATCGGGAGTGAAGTAGTTAAGTGCACCAATCCACCCACTTATTTTCGGTATCTCATTAACCTTAGTGGTTTGGTGTCTGACGAAATCTTGACACCGTCTGAGAAAAGTCTTGTAGATTCTAGCAACGTACGTCACTTGTGTTGGCGAATCAATGGACAAGTGCAATAAACAGCAATCCACTTCACATAGTAATGTATACTTCGAATGTATTCTTAGTTTCGGTTCCTAGTTGATACTCTCCACATTTGTACATCCTACAAACGATATATTATATTCCATTGCTTTTTATTGACATTTATTTGCAGGAGGACGGAGTGATCACTGAAGACTTTACAGTTCCTATATCTGATGAGTCTATTACTGAAAATTATAATTTTATTAGCAAAAATATGGAAACCCTACGCAATTCTCCACTTCAACAACTACCAAATTTTTTCTCCTCTGGCAATTCAACTTTGCTCCATAATAACGACGGAACCACTTTACATAACGATCTTCCGTTACTTTGTTCAACCGCCTCCAATCTTTCAGCTGAAGTTACGAAACATTTATCAGCTATTCATGCCCCATCATCTATTGATAGTTGTGAAGCTGATGAAGTTGGAGATAATGAAGAGCATGTCGGTGTTGAAGGTGATAATGACGAACTAAAAAAGCCAAGCACAGACATGAATCTCAACAATAGGCCTATCACCTCTAACCTACCTTCTGATATAGCAGATTCTAAACAGGAAAGTGTCACTGAGACGGCTGCAGAGGAATATGTACAACTATACTTTAATGAGCAAGCATTTGTTACTGCTTATATGAAAAATGAAAAATTTAATCCTAATAACGATACTACAAATGATGAGCTAAACGGTGTCCTCGAAAAGCTGCGTCGTTTCGCCAGTTATCGTGTCCCTATTCTTGGTCGCGCGAATCAGCGTCGTGTTGCTGGTTGTCCGGAATGCTTGAAACCTTTCAATCATGGATTTACAGACCTCAAGAAACATCTTCTAGTAACTCATCTCGGTGTTCGCCGTGATATATCGCGTTTTACCATCGATTTCACTCATTCCGGCAGGAGCCATCATAGCACATTACCTAGTCAAACTAATAGCTCATTTATTAATTCTGACAATTCACCGCAGTCAAAACACTCTTTCGGAATTCGAAATGGACGTCTCTCTGGTAAAGCGTTCCGTCGTAAACCTTTTCCAATTTCACCACTCTCCAATCCTCTTTGTAAACGTCCGACACCTGGTAAGTACGAAGACCCTCGGAAGTCACCAACAGAACCACTGGCTACTGTTTCTTCTGATGGTCTTCCAACCCTAGTAACGTCTGGTTCTTCCTATTCAGGTGGTGCTCCAGTTCACCGAGTTATCCCAGGGACTGGTGTTTCCGATCATTATGAAGACATGAGGTCATTGGAAGAAGTTTCTGCTCAAGCTCCCATCGGTAGAGGTGGTATTGTTCCTCTGGATGAAATGGGTAATCCAATCGTTGCTGCTGTTGTCGCTGCTGGTCAACCCCAAACGTCCACCTATTCAGGAGGTACAGAAGTCTTTCTACCTAAAGTTGGACGTCAGCGCGTTCAGTTGGCATATTCTTTCCCAGTATTTAATCGTTTACTGGAAGCTTATCAAGTCCCGATGCCAGAACGAATTCAACTTGTCAATCGTATGAATCACTATGCTCGAATGCATGTCATAATGGATGTTCTGGTTCCTGGTGGAGCACAAAAACGTTTTTCTTGTCCGACTTGCATGTATACTTCAGTACACTCGTTAGCCGATATTCGCAAACATATTATGGGGTCTCACTGTGGCATTTCTACTAAGCGTTTCAGACTCTGTCTTCGAGCTTCTAGACATGATACTACAACTTATCGCTTGCATTCAGATGACAGGATGATTCGATTCGTTGAAGATCATAGGCGAAGACAAATACAACTAACTGATGCAAGATCAAACCTTAAAGTCACTTCGATTGATAGTGATGCCGAAGAAGCAAAGGAAGATTCAAATGAAACTTATTCCCAAGTAGTGAATGATGAAAATAATCAATTCTCAAACGATTTCACCAAGTCTCAGGTATCACTCAATGATCAGGAAGAACTAGAAACACAGACTATCGAGACAGATTTGTACGACGATAGTCATCAGGAAGGGGTTCACGGCGCTGATGAAGAGAGTGATAATCGTTTTCTCACTGCCAACGTAAATCTAAACTCCGAGGACTATTTTGTCACCCCAACCAAAACTCATGATAACTCTATTGTAGTTGCTAATGATACTCCTAATACGTATTCGGACGAAAATGTTAAGCAAAACGAGGAGATCCACCGTCGTATTGAATTACCTTTCTCTGATAATGTACTGCGCGTCTTGCTGGAGCGAGAGGGTATGTTTGATCAATACGATGATTTGGTAGTCAAGATGCAAGTCTACTCTAAGCATCATCTTACTGTTGTTTCACGTGGAAATCGTATTTACTCGTACATTTGCATATGTGGACGTCGTTTTGCAGTAAGTCTTTTATTTAAAATTTGACTTTTTTTCTATTTTCATATATTAGCGTAAATTTTGGGTATAATTATCTTAATGGTTTTTTGTTTATCTCCAATTCTTAATGTAAAGTTTTGTCTTCGGAAAATCTGTTCTAGTGCCAGCAGTATTAATTGATTTGCTTCATCACTGATTTCTTTTCCATTTCACAGGTTGTTCGTGATGAAGTTGAAAGCGATATTAGGCCAGCCAGTCTAGCCGATTGCAGACGTCATATTCTGGGAGTGCATGCCAGGATACCTCAAGAACTACTAACATTATGCTGCCAGGCATCTCGCATTTCTAAAGAGTCTGGATATAAGCTCTATGCAGATACTTCTCTTTTGGCACTAGCTGAACAACACAAATTTCGGAGCACAAGAATTCAAAGTTATAGTCGTAAATCAGAAGGTGGAATATCTCCAATTAAACGTCCTTTAGAACCTATCATACCCAATGATACAGAAGGAATTTCAGAGTTATCTGTACCTACTAGTTCCGTTAATTCAGTTAATCAACGATCAAACACATCTTACTCAAGTATGGGTTTCAACCATTCTGCACCTAGTCAAGTAGCTCTACATCATTCGTCTTCATATTCCTCGAACCACCCTTTACCACCCATGTTGCGTGCTCCAAGTGTTAAATATGAACTAAGTGAACCAGATGAGTCACCGCCCCCAGAGTATAACAGACCCAATGGTAAAACATCTAATATGAACTCTACAAAGTCTCCAGAACCAAACCCTTACTCATTCGAAGAACGACATAACGGCCTGGATCTTGAAGCTCCTCGTCGCATACTTACTCCTGAAGAGTCGGTTACATGGAGCCAAAAGCTAGGTTTACCTGCTTCATGGGCTTTGGAAAGAATCGTTCGACTCCTGTATAGTCCTGCTGTTTTTGATCATCAAGTTAGATCTGTTCTACCTGATGGTGATAGCTTTATTGGTAGCTTGCATGAACGCATGAAAGTTTATGCTAGACATTCTGTTTATATTACTCGTATGAGGGAAACTCCCAATCTTACTCAACGCATTTATGTTTGTTGTGCATGTCTAACTACATCACATCATGGTTTCGGAGATGTAAGGAAACACATATTAGGTGTTCATGCTCACGTTCCGGAACGCTTTAAATCTGCAGCCATGTGTTCTAGTAGGTTGAATAGAGATGATTATTTTCTGTATACTGATAGCCAACTCCTAATGTTAGCTAATTCTCCCGGGCGTAACGCAAATATATCTGCTTTGGGAGCTGCATCTAACAAAACCCTATCACATTTAAATCATAATTCAACACCTCATAAACATCGCCAAAACGATTCAGAATATGTATCTCCTCAAAACACTCCGAATAGAAAAAGACGGTTTTCTGGTACTGAAAGTGACTCCATTGAACTTGGTATTAGACCAGAATCCTCTAGTCAATTTTTACCTGATGAGATTCTACATACTGCTCATTTAAATGGACATGCTGCATTTTCTCCTGACATACCTACGAAACCCTATGAAGAACACGATGAACACCGTCCTCCAATTATTCTTACTATACCGCGTCCTAAAGCTTTCCATCCATCTGATCAACCAGATGATTTACCTGTTCGATTATCCTCTATAAATGCAGCGAAACCTATTGATGAGTATATAAATCCAGACAATGCTTATTCATCATCTGGTTCACGTAGTAGACGTTCAATGATTCTTAAATCCAAACGTCCTTGCCCAACATCTACGTAAACTACTTTTCTTACATATCTTATATTAAGAAATACATATTTACGGAAATTAAACTAAGTTATGCTTAGCATGTTATCTATACCACAAATTTCTTAATCATCTTGTACATAAAAATATATATAGTTATTATTAAACAGGAACTGTATCACAAAAATGAATACCTCGAACCGTAAAAAAATTTACTTGCAAATTCATTATTAGTTATCAAGACTTGTTTGTATGATAAACGTTTCATAGCTTTTTTCTTAATTTCACTTTTTACTTAGTGACATTGTTTTGTAATGTGTTTAAAGCAACAGTATAAACTATGACAATATACCCTTTTGTATTCAGTATATATAACAATAGTAATAATGCTTTCCTTACTTAATAAACAATTGATAGATAATTAATCAAATTAGTGATGCATTGATGTTAATGTGGATTCTTATCAAGTTATCGTCAGTCATTTTTTTCGCAAAAATAGTTTCATGTGTTCATTTTATGTTTCAACATTTCACTTTAGTCTACACTTGTAGCACACATACTTCTCCTTTTGACTTCTTTCAAGCACGCCTTTCTTTTGTTCTACTGATATCTTAATATACATATAAAACATTCCATTCTACACTTTTTGTTAATATGTATTTATGTCCATGTATTAGTCCTCCTATAAAATGAAAACTGGTAATTTTGTGATCCCCTTGGCAATTCGATTAATTAGACTTTGTTTTCCTTGTGAAATCTGAATTTATACTTTTGATTGATCGTTTGATTACATGTAAATCATCTAGGAAACCTTATTAGTAGATGGAGATGTATATTTCAATTTGGTCTAACAGTCCAAATTAATAAGCTAAAATAAGAATTTCATTTAATTGTTATCTTCTTAATATCATGAACTATCACAATTCCCTTATTTTAGCAGTACTGTGAATACCCAGACTATGACAACGCAATTGTCTTGATTTTAGATGAATAAAATCACAGGAAAGATAACTAAGCGTTATATGCAATAGAATGCTTATTGTTTTTGAACTGAAACGAAATTTTATGTCAGCCAGTCATAACCAACGTAAAATCTGGGTCTGGTGCATTGGTTCAAAATGCCCCACCATTTCAGCACAGTGATATGAAATCGCCAAGACAAATCCCAGAGTGGTAAAAGTATTAGTAGAACAGATTAGACGTAGACAATATGATTCGAAAGAGACTGAATTCATAAAATAGGGAAGTATATGGTGTTTCAAAACTCAGCATTTAAGGGTTATGTGTGCAGCATCGTGATCAATTCTAATCTATGTCATACAATGTCTTCAACCACTAGTTACGATATTCACGTGCACTCACTAACAGTTAGACTGAACCCACAATCACGTTTCAAGCATACAGTTAATGAATTCATGAACTAATACCAAGTCTTTATTTAATGGCTTCTAGCTTTCCTCTATTTCTCATCAATAAACATCACCTGCTGAGCTAGATAGTGGTTGGGCATGTGCAATAAGTGAGCCACCTACCTCAGTGGATGGTGATCGAATATCTTACCAATCAATTTGCCATCTTTGCATCTCTCTTTGGCATCGCTCACTTGATGGTCCCGATTATTAGTTCAGTCCGTGTCTCAGAACAATCCTGAGACAAATTAGGAAAGGAGAAACACATCCTAAACATTCTTGCATTGTTGCTCAAGGTAACCAGAAGACTTGTTAACACCACCGAGCAGAACTATTTCCTATAAGTTTTCTAAGTCAATAAGTGAATCTCCGGATGTCAGTCAGTCACTGAGACGTCAATCGATAAAAGCGTTATCTCTAGAAGGATATCTACGAAAAAATCATTTGGTTACATACAATTCAATCTGTCCTATAGTCTATCTTTTATAGTAGAAGCGAGTTGTGTCGTTGACGTTATTGAGTTGTCTTACGGTCTCGTTCAATAACCAAGTAGACTTGTCTTCACCAGATGCTTTAAACATAAACAAAAATTTGCTTCGTGATACGAGAGAAATTCTTAGAGTGAGTTCTTATGGATCTTTTAGTACGAAAAATGCGTATTACTGAGGGAGCTAAATCGGCTCTTAAGCAAACGTTCTCAGGTCGTTATTCAAACCTGCTAATTATTGACAAACACAACCTCGACGTATATACATGATAGATATTTGTTCATATTTTATCGATCTTATTGAATTCTAACGATTTTTAAGTTATTCTGGCATCAAAATTTCTCGAGGTAACTGGATAATGACTGGGATCAAAGCACTAGTCTATGAACCATCAGATCAGTGCTTTTTCAGTTGACTGGTGTGTATTTAAGTCATGTACAATTTTTTAAACGACAAACAACTGACTAACGATTAATTGAATTGCTCAATATTCTGTCTATTACACTAGCATATCGACAATCGTTGTGATTGAAATTTTCTGACAAAAGCAAACATACGAAATGGATATACTAGTTAGAATCAAAATCAATTTCTCTGGTTACATCAACTTCCACTCACTATCTAACATCATATTTACTTAAACGCTATATTCAACTTCTTTTTGTAATACCTCTTGCGTTTTTTTATAAATTACTTTTCTTCTGCCTATTGCTTATTTTCGATTCTGTTCGACATGCATTTTCGATATTATTAAAGCCATTACAATTTGATTCTGTTTTTCAATTGATATACATATTCATGATCCAGTGATTTAGTTCTGACGACGGTCTGAAATTTCAACCAATGCACCATTGTGAACTTGAATCAATTAACTCTATCACACACACGCATATTTTTTTTAGTGGATTTACATTCGCGTACACCCACGTATTTGTGTGCAGTTATGTACTCATATAGTTACTGGTGCATTTTTATTCAATATAAGCATGTAGTTTGACCTGGTTGATTTTCTCTCTCAGTATGAGCCCAACTAAGACGACACTAGTCTTGAATAAGCCCGCATCAGTCAGTCAAACGTTATGGTGCATAAGTGCACAATCACTACTACTAACTAAGTTTTTAGATCGATTGTATCAGTTGACTGATACTGGAATACATACTATTGACAGTTTCACTAAATCACACAGAAACAAATTGTCGATAGTAAATACGTTTGTGTACAACTAATAAAAACCTCATAGTCAACGTTGAAATAAGCCCGTCCTATATGTTGGGTGTGTTAAGTGAACTAGTTCAGTAGAGAAAATAGTCAGGTGTATCTAGTGTTACCGGCTGAAATTCGTTTCATATGACTGAATATAAATTACATGATTTAAACTCGCCCCTAAGTGCACATCTTTTGGTGTTTGTAAATTTTACCTGCCTAACCTTCTTTTCATCTTCAGTTATTTTATATGCTTTTTTTATTTCTCTTCATTACCAACTTCATCTCCATAAATTATAACTTTGTTGAATGATTTACAAAGCATGATAGAATAATTTCATTATCTAACATATGAATCTATACATAAGTCAGTTAACATTTTTTTTTAAAGAATTCTGAAGTCGACATGCCACTCACATCGATTTTCTCAGAGTAGCTAAACAAATTATCTTGGTCCTCAGATAATTTATAAAATGCTATTTTCACCCGCTTGATTCAGGTATCATTTCTCATTCATAATTATTAAGAGGAATTTCTCATTTATGACTGGAAATCTGTGTTGTAAATGTGATATATCTCTAACATATTAGATAAGCAGTGTATTTATAATTTTCTTCCTAATTGACTTGATCGATCTCATACTACTCATTACCATCAGTAGCATACACTGTTATTTTAAGCGTTAACCAACAAGGCAGAAAAAAAGAAACTCGTTTCACTAGTGTGGTTAAATTTGTACGTAAAAAATCCGTTAGATTGAACTGTTTTTATATCACATATATCATAGAAATGAAAGTTTTCTACAAATATTACCTTTAGGTATTACAGTCTGTAATGAGCAAATATCTCACAATGAGCTAACGGAAACTTGATTTCTCTTTTTCGAAATAAGTTCTTTTTTTCTTAATTACAATTTTCTAATAATAGAGATTTGCATCCCAGACCAAAGATCCTGAATAAATCACCAAACCCATTAATGAAACATTCACAAATAAATGTCAATGTTGAAGATCACTATTGATCTTATGAGTGTTTGTACCCATGTTAGTTTATAGGTAGTGTTCATAAAACAATAATTATTATGTTTTATGTACAATAATTGTGCAAATATACAAAGAGCGATGTATTCCTCATTGACAAAACAGTCTTTAAAAGACAACACACTTCAAACAATCTGATCGGTATACATTTGAGTAAACTCCTAACAATAGAGACCCCATCTACAGCAGTAAGTTTCGTGCGCTTTCATAGGATCAATCAATGCTCTTCTACATAGGTTACATGAAAGTTAAGTTACAACACTACATATTCTGACTTACCCCATAATCTTATGAGGGTTAATTAAATAGGAGAAAGTATAACACTTGTTAAATATTGTCCTGTTATGCCTAGTCACTTGAAACTATAAATATAAACAATGAAAATTTCATTCTGATGAAATTGTCTAGAAAGATGACCAAAACTGCAAGATTTAATCGTTTGGCCCAAAGTGATCCAATCTTTACAAAAACATAGTAAAAGGACCTAGTGAGTTGTATAGTTTCTTCGAGTTACAAATTTAGATATGACTAGCATATTTAATACACCCGTGAAAATTCAGTTCAACTTTTGATGAATATACACACTTATTTATTTGTCTCTTGATTGAATGATGATTTACCACCTACATGTTTCAAAATCCCCTACTTTTGTGTTCTTTTACTTTCATTGGTTCTATGGAATATATGTTTCTATAAACCTCTGTAATTGGTTTTTTTGGTTGTGTACTACCTGACGCTCAGCAGATTACGAGTGTTTGAGTAGCTAATATAGAGTAACAGTCTCTACAGTCAGATCAAAACTAAAGCACATCTCAATAAGCGCGTTCAAACAGCCAGCGATATTAGATGGAAAATTCGCTAAAATATTTTGTTTTGATATTCTACTGTACAATAAAATGATACATAAGTATTATTCATCTCAACCTGTAGCTTTCCGATGATGAGTACGAGAGGATAAAACTTAAGATGAAGAAGCGAATAAAAAGAGACAATTATGGCATATCTGAAAGTCACTACCCACGGATTATCATCAAAATTCTGTGAATCCATCTTAAAATTAGTCAGTTATTACCACGATTGTTTCATTCAAGATGTATCCTTGTGCACACTGCTGATAAGCTTCAAATTGGGACGAAATAACTGTTCACTAATATTTGATTTTCTTTGTTTCTCCAACTAATCTCAGCAAGTAATAAAAAAACAAGCTTCAAACGTTCTCCTCTCAGAATGTATGATAATAATATCACAACTGTAAAAGAGATGTGATATGTTATTTTTATTCAAATAAACCACCGAATTTTTTCAAAACATTTTCCATCTACTCTAAATGTTTAATTACCATCTTGTTTATATATATTCATAAAAATGTAGTTATACTTATCACAGTTATTAACCATATATTTCAAAACCAACTTTCGGTACTTTTCAAAATACCTGGATAATCAGATTTAATCAGACTTTTCTAACTTTCTTATTGATCATTAATACCTCCAGTTTAACAGTTTTATCTTTTAAATTTTTTTTACTGACTCAACTTCGACCTGTAACTCATTACTTCATCCTCTGAACCGGATTTCACATAAAAAGAACATTATTGGTCATATAACATATTAGGAGAAGGAAATAACTCAGTTTGAATCCTCATGTTTATTTACGATCAGTATGTAATTTTGATTTTTCAACAAGCTGAATAAGTCTCCAAAGTGTTCATTGAATCCTTTGGAGATAATCATTAACCAGGAAATTT